TTATTCTTATTTACCATTTCTGACATATTATATACTACAAAACATGAATGGCTTGTCAGCACTCAAATGTAAACATTCAAGTTGACAATCGAAAAAATAAAGTTGACATTCAAAATATTAGACAGCCAGTAGTCAACAAAGCTACCTCCAAACTGCTGGCCACGTTAGGTTTGTTCAAAGTCAGCTAATATAGCATGAATATAAAATAAGAGATACTCCAACTAGTAGTAGTAAACTAGTAATAACTAGAATATATAATATTTGTTAAGCTTGCAATTTGCAATAATCATTTACATAACGCGATTCTGGAGCATAAACCAGTTCAAAACTTGATCAATATAAATTAATCACCAAAGTCCACCATAAATTATACCAACATCTTGCATTAAATTTTCTAAAGAAACTATATACTGAGTGAAAAAAATGGCAGAGAGTGCTATATCTTATTTGGTTCATCAGCTTTCAGCTTGGCTGCGCGGTGGACAAAAATTTCTTGAAGGAATTCAACAAGAAATTGTTCATATCAGGGATGAATTTGAAAATATGAGGACTTTCTCAAGAGTAGCTGATGCTAAAGAAGAAGAAGATGCTGAATTACAAGTATGGATCAAACAAGTACAAGAAATTGCACATGATGTCCAAGACATTCTTGAAAAACATGTTGTTATGTGCAACAATTTTCAAGAAAAGGTATCATGGCCATGGAAAAAACCCCGTCATTCATTAATGTCTGAGAAGTTCTTTGAAGCTCAGAATGATAATCTTTCAATGTTATTGGAAGGCATCAAAGCCCGAATCATCGTCATTTCTGAAGGACATAAAATATTTCTTCAGAAATATGGTGTTATAACAAGTGCTGAGAGTAGTAACATTACTACATTGTGTAATAACTATGAAGAAGTAGTTCTGTTTGATGAAGCAGATGTTGTAGGAATTGAAAATCACAAACCAGTTATTCTTGATTGGTTACTTTCTGATGATCAAGAATGGAAATTGCATTGTGTAGTTGGAACTAGAGGTATAGGGAAGACCACCCTAATCAAGAAAGTATATGATGATGCAGCAGTGAAAAAGCATTTCAATCATACACAGTGGATTGAAATTCCAAGGTTTTCTGATGTTAAGGAGCTAATGAAGAACATGATTACTCCAAAAAATGACCATAGCCGTCGAGCAGTTGAAGCAATGGATGCTAACATGTTGGCAGAGTTAATACAACAAATCTTTGAGTCATCAAAGTACTTCATTGTCCTTGATGATGTCCCTGATATTGCCACATGGAGGGCTCTCAAATGTATCTTTCCTATCGAAAACTGTGGCAGCAGGGTAATCATCATATCGAGTTTTGCTGAAATATGCCATACCATTTGTGCAGAAACCGGTGGTGATAGTCATGTTTATAGTTTGAGGCCTTTGTCTGAAGAAGAATCTTGGATTCTTTTCTGCAGAAAGGCATTTTCAGGCAGCCTGTTATGTCCTCCATCTTTGATGCAAATCTCCAAAGACATTATACGGACATGCAGAGGCCTACCACTGGCGATTTTGGCAATTGCTGGTGCTTTGGCTGATAAAGGGAAAAGAAAAGAGGCGTGGGAGTTGTTTCATGGCAACCTTGTTGACAAGTTACAAGGTAGTTATAGCGAAGTCGAGCACATGAAAAGGATACTCATTCTATGTTATCAAGACTTGCCTTTCTATCTCAAGTCTTGTTTCACATATCTGAGCATAATTCCAGAATTTCATGTCATCGATAAGATGAGACTGATTCGACTGTGGGCAGCAGAAGGACTTGTCCTTGAAAGTGAAGAAAAGGCAATTGCACAAGTTGCTGCAAGCTATCTCAATGAACTTGCAAACAGAAGTTTGATCCAAATTGCTGAAAGGTACTGTGATGGAAGATTAGATTCATTCACCATTCATAACTTGTGGTATGAAATCATTCTTTCCAAGTCAGCAGAAAGGGTAACTGCTACTATAACTAATGGTGAAGAAATTACAAGAAGGCCTCACAAAGTCAGACATCTAGTAATCGCTGATCCATTGGCTAGCGATATACAAGATATTGATCGGTTTAAGCATCTTCACTCTCTAATAACGCTCGGGTCATCAGATTCTGTCTCTAATTCATTCTTGTTGAAGCTGTTAACTGGTAGCTTTAAGCTACTCAAGGTCTTAGACTTAACAGGAGCCCCATTGGTGAAAATACCAGAAGAAGTCTTCGAAATGTTTCATCTCAGGTTTCTAAACTTGAGAAAAACTAAGGTAAAACATCTGCCAGGATCAATAGGAAAGCTTGAGAACCTCGAGTTCTTGGACCTAAGAGAGACATTGGTAAAAAGGTTACCTGGTGAGATACTAAAGCTTCAACATCTTCGCCATATCTTCATTCATCGACGTGGTGCTGGATTTTTGCATGGTTTTAAAGCTCCTAAGAAGATAGGAACCCTCATGTCTTTAGAAATGGTGAATTCTATAAAGGCCAGTACAAGCACAGTGATTGAATTGGGGAAGTTAACAAGACTAAGAATGTTATACATCGCGAAGCTGAGAAGAAAACATGGAAGGAATCTTTGTTCTTCCCTTGACAAGTTGATAAATCTTCAACAACTAACTATCTCATCTTATGGGGTGAGTGACATTATTGATTTGCACTATCCCCTTTCTTCTACACACTCATCCCTTCGAACATTAGTCTTCGAAGGGCGCTTAGAGAGGTTTCCACAATGGGTAACTTCTCTTCAAGCCTTGACCTCAGTTCATTTAAAATGGACCAAATTAATGGACAATGCACTAGACACTCTTCAAGATTTGCCAAATCTTGTAAAACTGGTGCTAGACCGGGCCTACGAAGGCGAACAACTGAGGTTCAAGGCAGTTGGATTCAAGAAACTGAAGGAATTATGTATTTGGCACTCTGAAAAACTGAGGCAAATCAAAGTGGAAGAGGGTGCAATGCCTTTACTTGAAGAACTTCAACTGCGCAACTGTAGATTAATGGAGCAGTTTCCCTTCGGGATTGAGCATTTGAGCAAGCTTCAGTATTTTTCACTGGAACAAATTTCTGAAAAGTTGTTAATGACAGTGCAGCTTAAGGACAGTCAAAGTGGGGATTACTGGAAAATTGCTCATATTCCTAGACTTCACATAGAAGAGTAGTTAATAAGATGGAATAAAGGGCAGCCCGGTGCACTAAGCTCCTGCTATGCGCGGGGTCCGGGGAAGGGTCGGACCACAAGGGCCTATTGTACGCAGCCTTACCCTGCATTTCTGCAAGAGGCTGTTTCCAGTTAATAAGCTGGAATGTAGATAGAAATGGGATGATGCACGAAAAGACAAAAGAAGTCTCATTGAAATGTACCATTTTATCTTTGATAATTAAGATTATAACTATCTCAGGTTATTAACAGTTCTAAATGTTACTCTTCACTCCTCATTTTCTCATATTTAGGTATCACATTCTGAACTTTCTCTTGGATCATGAACGCCTTTTCCCCTACGATTTTCTTTAACTGTAAATAGTATCATTTTTACAACTTGACATTCATGTAGAATTCAGCTATTGTTTTTCAGACATCTCAGCATATACAATTGAATTGAGCTTGTACAGTTTCCACTCATTTTTCTCTTCTTCCACTGGATTTTCTACAATCTGCTATGTTCAAATGGAGGAAAAAGATACTTCCAGAAAATATCCAAGCAACAACTTTGGTAGATTGAGCAATCATATATATACAATATGTGCATTGGGAGACTGGTTGGGCATCCAGCTCCAAGCTGGAGAGGTGAAATTGGTGATGGAAACAATCAGGAAGAAGCATTGGCATAAGGTCACAAAGGAGTTAATAGCAGCAGCCTGGAGGGCAATAATTTACCATACATGGAGGGCGAGGGACTGAATCATTTTCAGGAGTCAAAATGTACATATTGAGACATTTATAGATCAGATAAAAAAAGAATTAGTAGATAGAGTAGAATTCCTTAGTGTGTCGAGAAAAGCTGGAAGTAGGAATGCTGTTTACAAAGAATTCTGTGTACTTAGTGTTATTTTGGAGGCCTAAATTTTCCACACATCAACCTTCCTCGAAGGTAGATGTGTGTTTAGGTGTATTGATGTCCATGTTGGCTGGTATAATAATATTCACAGTTGTTACCAAAAGATCGCGTGGCATAGCTTACTAGCATACATCTGGCACTGTTGCTGCCCATGTAACATCCCAGACTTTAGACAATGTCCCACCTCGGTAAAACACAAGAGGGATGCTAGGTATATAAGTTAACAAGCTTTAGACCCTAGTGACGTGTTTTAAACCCGTGCGGGCCTAGGTCCAGAGCAGACAATATCACTAGCGGGCTGGGATGTTACCGATGGTATCGGAGCCACTCTTTTGTCAACCTTGCCGATGGTGAATAATTAAACTGACCACACGAGCAGGTATGGAATACCTTATTGCGGGCAAGGATTTAGCAAAGAACTTTTTTTCTCATCACTCAACAACACTTAACACATAACTATTGAGCGATTATTGTACGAGCTTGAAGATCAGCAAATATAGATCATACGACTTCAATTCGCCATAAGAAAAATGTCGCTAGGATACTATAGCAAAGTTTGCACAACATGTTTATGTTAATTATTTTAGAGGAGTAATATATTGGAGATTCTTGTGTAAACATTCTAAGTTGACAATCAGTGTTTCTAGATAGCCAATAGTCAATGAAGTAACCTCCAAATAGCTGGCCACGATAAGTATGTTCAAAGTCAGCTCATATAGCATTAATATATAATAAGAGAGATACTCCAACTAGTATTAGTAAACTAGTAGTAACTAGGATAATATCTCTTAACCTTGCAATTGGCAATAATCATTTACATTACGCGATTCTGGAGCATAAACTAGTTTAAAGTTTTATCTATATAAATTGATCACCAAGGTCCACCATGAATTATACCAACATATTGCATAAATTTTGCTAAAGAAACTATATACTGAGTGAAAAAAATGGCAGAGAGTGCTATAACTTATTTGGTACATCAGCTTTCAACCTTGCTCAATGGTGGACAAAAATTTCTTGAAGGAATTCAAGAAGAAATTGTTCATATCAGGGATGAATTTGGAAAGATGAGGACTTTCTCAAGAGTAGCTGATGCAAAAGAAGAAGAAGATGCTGAATTACAAGTATGGATCAAACAAGTACAAGAACTTGCACATGATGTCCAAGACATTCTCGAAAAACATGTTGTTATGTGCAACAATTTTCAAGAAAAGGGATCATGGCCATGGAAAAAGTCCCATCTTTCATTGTCGGAGAAGTTATTTGAAGCTCAGCATGATAATCTTTCAATGTTATTGGAAGGCATCAATGTCCGTATCGTCATCATTTCTGAAGGACATATAACATTTCTTCAGAAATATGGTGTTACAATAAGTGCTGAGAGTAGCAACATTAATAAATGGTGTGATAACCATGAAGAAGTAGTTCTTCATGATGATGCAGATCTTTTAGGCATTGAAAATCACAAGTCAATGCTGCTTGATTGGGTTCTTTCTGATGATCCAGAATGGAAATTGCAGTGTATAGTTGGAAGTAGAAGTATAGGGAAAACTACCCTAGTCAAGAAAGTCTATGATGATGCAGCAGTGAAAAAGCATTTCAATCATACACTGTGGCTTGAGATTCCAAGGGTTTCTGATGTTAAGGAGCTAATGAAGAACATGATTACTATAAACAATGACCATTCCCGTCGAGTCATTGAAGACATGGATACTAACATGTTGGCACAGTTCATCCGACAACTCATTGAGTCATCAAGGTACTTTATTGTCCTTGATGATGTCCCTGACATTGGTATATGGAGGGCTCTCAAATGTACATTTCCTATTGAAAACTGATGCAGTAGGGTCATCATCATATCGCGTTTTCCTGAACTATGCCATAACATTTGTGTGGAAACTGGCGGTGATAGTCATGTTTATAGTTTGAATTTGTCTGAAGAAGAATCTTGGATTCTTTTCTGCAGAAAGGTATTTTCAGGCAGCCTATTATGTCCTCCACCCTTGATGCAAATCTCCAAAGACATCATAGAAAAATGCAACGGTTTTCCACTGGCAATTTTGGTGATTGCTGGTGCACTGGCTACCAAAGGGAACAACACAGAGGCATGGGAGTTGTTTCACAGCAGCCTTGTTGCCAGGCTAGAAGGTAGTTATAGTGAAGTCGAGCACATGAAAAGGATACTCGATCTATGTTATAAAGACTTGCCTTTCTATCTCAAGTCTTGTTTCACATATCTGAGCATAATACCAAAAGATCATGTCATCGACAAGATGAGATTGATTCGACTGTGGGCAGCAGAAGGACTTGTCCTTGAAAGAGAAGGAAAGGCAATTGCACAAGTTGCTGAAAGCTATCTCAATGAACTTGCAAACAGAAGCTTGATCCAAGTTGCTAGAAAGCATCCTGATGGAAGGTTAGAGTCATTCAGAATCCATAACTTGTGGTATGAATTCATTCTTTCCAAGTCAAGAGAAAGGAGTCACAAGGCCAGACATCTAGTAATCCATGATCATTTGTCTAATGATATACAAGACATTGATCAGTTTAAGCACCTTCGCACTCTAATAACGCTCGGGTCATCAGCTTCTGTCTCTAGTTCATTATTGTTGAAGCTGTTATCTGGCAGTTTTAAGCTACTCAAGGTTTTAGACTTAAAAAGGAGCCCAATTAGCGAAAATCCCGGAAGAAGTCTTTGAATTGTTTCATCTCAATTGTCTAAACTTGAGGAGCACTCAGATAAAACATATGCCAGGATCAATAGGGAAGCTTGAGAACCTTGAGTTCTTGGATCTAAGGGAGACATTGGTAAACAAATTGCCAGTCGAGATACTAAAGCTTCAACATCTTCGCCATATCTTCATTAACCGCTTTGTTGCTGGTTATATACATGGTTTTGAAGCTCCTAAGAAGATAGGGACTCTTGTGTCTTTAGAAATGGTGAATCGTATAAATGCCACTACAAGCACGGTGATCGAATTGGGAAAGTTAACGAGACTAAGAATGTTATACATCGCGAAGCTGAGAAGAAAACATGGAAGGGATCTTTGTTCTTCCCTTGACAAGTTGATAAATCTTCAACAACTAACTATCTCATCTTTTGGGGTGGGTGACATAATTGACTTGCACTATCCCCTTCATTCTACACACTCATCCCTTCGAACATTAGTCTTCGAAGGGCGTTTGGAGAGGTTTCCACAATGGGTAACATCTCTTCAAGCCTTAGCTATTGTTGTTTTAAGAGGGAGCAAGTTAATGGACAATGCACTAAAAACTCTTCAAGATTTGCCCAACCTTGTCAAACTCGTGCTAGACCGAGCCTCCGAAGGCGAAGAATTGAGGTTCGGGGAAGGTAGATTCAAGAAGCTGAAGATATTATGCATTTGGCACTCCACAAAGTTGAGACAGATGAAAGTGGAAGAGGGTGCAATGCCTTTTCTTGAAGAGCTTCAACTGTGCAACTGTGGATTAATGGAGAATTTGCCCTTTGGGATTGAGCATTTGAGGAAGCTTGGTTATCTTTTGCTGGAAGAAATTTCTGAAAAGCTGTTAATGACTGTGCAGCTTAAGGACAGTCAAAATGGGGATTACTGGAAAATTGCTCATATTCCTAGAGTTCATGTGAAAATGTTGTAAGGTAGATAAGAATGGGATGATGCAAGAAAAGAGAAACAAAGTTGATAATCTAGATTATAACTTTGTAAGATAATTAGTAGTTCTAAATATTACTGTTTACTCCTTATTTTCTCATTCTTGACTTCCAGTTGTATCATGAATGCCCTTTCCCATATGATTTTCATTAATCAAATGAACAACCTGTTGTCATCAGAGGCAGAAGCGGACCCAGGATTTGATAGTGGCAAGGGCGTTAGGGCGCCACTGTCGAATAAATATTTGACCAAATGCTAGAGTTGGAACCGAACCCAGGCAGCGCACCAAAAGTCAAGTTGTGCCCCCAAATCGAATAATGCAGCTGCCTAACATTTGAATCTTAGGGTGACAATCAAAATATAAACCTATTATTTAAGATATATACCCATATACATATATTTTTTCCGAAGTAACCGGGGGCGGTGACCCACCTACCCGAAGGGTAGGTCTGCCTCTGGCTGTCATAACTGTACGTGATACCACTTTTACAACTAAAGATTCATGTCCAAGCTAAATCGTCAACATGGCTAAGAAATATTAACACAATGAAAGTCCTATAGGTACTTTAGACAGGCAGTAATTGACCGAATCAAGTGCCTAATTGCTTACCATGTTCAGTGCAATAAAAGTCCGATCATATAGCATGAATTTAAAAAAGATATACTCCAACTAGTAGGAGTATAACTACAAAAATAATATAATAAAGTAAAATATTAAATAAAAAACTAGTAATAACTGGTAAAATGTTTCTTAACTTGCTATTTACAATCATCATTTGTGAAGCACAGTTCTAGTACCTAGACTGATTCAAAGTTTGATTTATATAAATTGATCAGGAAAGTCCAACATCAATTACATCAAATATATTACAAAAATTTCCAAAGTTGACAATCGATGTCTCTATACGGCCATAGTCAACCGTGCCAAATTGCTGGCCACGTTAAGTGTATTCAAAGTCAGCTCATATAGCATGAATTAAAAAAAGAGGAAAGATCCTCCAACTAGTAGTAGTAAACTGATACTAATAATTAGGATAATGTTTCTTAATCTTGCAAATTGCAATAATCATTTGCATAACGCGGTTATATTCCCTAACAAGTTCAAACTTTGATCTACATAAATTGATCATGAAAGTCCACCATTAACTACACCAACATCTTGCACTAAATTTGCTAAAGAAATATATACTGAGGGAAAAAATGGCAGAGAGTGCTATATCTTATTTGGTACATGACCAGCTTTCAGCTAGGCTCCGCGGTAGACAAAAATGTTATGAAGGAATTGAACAAGAAATTGTTCATATCAGGGATGCATTTGAACATATGAGGACTTTCTCAAGAGTAGCTGATGCAAAAGAAGAAGAAGAAGATGTTGATTTACAAGTATGGATCAAGCAAGTACAAGATCTTGCACATGATGTCCAAGACATTCTTGAAAAACATGTTGTTATGTGCAACAGTTTTCAAGAAAAGGGATCATGGCCATGGAAAAAACCCCATCATTCATTAATGTCTGAGAAGTTCTTTGAAGCTCAGAATGATAATCTTTCAATGTTATTGGAAGGCATCAAAGCCCGAATCATCGTCATTTCTGAAGGACACAAAACATTTCTTCAGAAATATGGTGCTCTACCAACTGTGGAAAGTAGCAATATTTCATGGTGTAATAACCATGAAGAAGTAATTCTTGATGATGATGCAGATCTTGTAGGTGTTGAAAATCATAAATCAATGCTTCTTGATTGGTTACTTTCTGATGATCAAGAATGGAAATTGCTTTCTATAGTTGGAACTAGAGGTATAGGGAAAACTGCCCTAGTCAAGAAAATCTTTGATGATGCAGCAGTGAGTAAGAATTTCGATCGAACTATATGGATTGAGATTCCAAGGTTTTCTGATGTTACAGATATTTTGTTGAGCATGGTTAATCTAAACGATGACAGTACCCGTCGAGCACTTGAAACCATGAATGGTAACATGTTGGCACAGTACCTTCAACAAACCTTTGAGACATTGCGGTACTTTGTTGTCCTTGATGATGTCCCTGATATTGACACATGGAGGACTCTCAAATATTTATTTCCTAGTAAAAGCCGTGGCAGCAGGGTCATCATCATATCGCGTTTTTCTGAAATATGCCATACCATTTGTGCAGAAACTGGTGGTGATAGTCATGTTTATAGTTGGAAGCCTTTGTCTGAAGAAGAATCTTGGATTCTTTTCTGCAGAAAGGTATTCTCAGGCAGCTTGTTATGTCCTCCATCATCGATGCAAATCTCCAAAGACATCGTAGAAAAATGCAACGGTTTGCCACTGGCAATTTTGTTGATTGCTGGTGCACTGGCTACTAAAGGGAACAAAACAGAGGCGTGGGAATTGTTTCATGGCAACCTTGTTGACAAGCTACAAGGTAGTTATAGTGAAGTCGAGCACATGAAAAAGATACTCAATCTATGTTATCAAGACTTGCCTTTCTATCTCAAGTCTTGTTTCACATATCTGAGCATAATTCCAAAAGATCATGTCATTATTAAGAAGAGACTGATTCGACTATGGGCAGCAGAAGGACTTGTCCTAGAAAGAGATGGAAAGGGAATTGCACAAGTTGCTGAAAGCTATCTCAATGAACTTGCAAACAGACGCTTGATCCAAGTTACCAAAAAGTACCCTGATGGATGGTTACAATCATTCAACATCCATAACATGTGGTACGAAACCATTCTTTCTAAGTCAGGGGAAAGGGTCGTTACAACTATAGGTAATGGGGAAGGAACAAAAAGACCTCACAAAGTCAGACATCTAGTAATCGCTGATGAATTGGCTAATGATATACAAGATGTTGATCGGTTTAAGCATCTTCACTCTCTGATAACATTCAGGTCATCAGATTCTGTCACTAATTCATTCTTGTTGAAGCTGTTATGTGGCAGTTTCAAGCTACTCAAGGTCTTAGACTTAACAGGAGCCCCATTGGTGAACATACCAGAAAAAGTCTTTGAATTAGTACATCTCAAGTTTTTGAATTTGAGGAACACTAAGATAAAACATCTGCCAGGATCAATATGGAAGCTTGAGTACCTCGAGTTCTTGGACCTAAGGGACACATTGGTAAACAAATTGCCTGATGAGATTCTAAGGCTTCAACATCTTCGCCATGTCTTCATTTATCGATGGGGTGCTGATTTTTTGCATGGTTTTAAAGCTCCTAAGAACATAGGAACCCTTGTGTCCTTAGAAATGGTGAATCTTATAAATGCCACTGCAAGCACAGTGATTGAACTGGGAAAGTTAACAAGACTACAAATATTAGAAATCGCGGAACTGAGAAGAAAACATGGAAGAGATCTTTGTTCTTCCCTTGACAAGTTGATAAATCTACAACAACTATCAATCTCATCTTATGGGGTAAGTGACATTATTGATCTGCACTACCCCCTTTCTTCTACACACACATCCCTCCGAATATTGCTCTTCGAAGGGCGTCTAGAGAGGTTTCCACAATGGGTAACATCTCTTCAAGCCTTAGCCACAGTTCATCTAAAATGGAGCAAGTTAGTGGACAATGCACTAGACAGTCTTCAAGATTTGCCCAACCTTGTAAAACTAGTGCTAGACCAGGCCTATGAAGGCGAAGAATTGAGGTTCAGGGCAGGTGGATTCAAGAAACTGAAAGACTTACGTATTCTGCACTCTACAAAACTGAGACAGATTAAAGTGGAAGAGGGCGCAATGACTTCTCTTTATGAGCTTCAATTGCGCAACTGTGGATTAATGGAGGAGTTACCCTTTGGGATTGAACATTTGAGCACGCTTCAGTATCTTTCGCTGGAACAAATGTCTGAGAAGTTGTTAATGACTGTGCAGTTTAAGGACAGTCAAAGTGGGGATTACTGGAAAATTGCTCATATTCACGGACTTCATATAGACTAGCAGACTTGCAGAAAAGCTGAAAGGTTACTAGGAGTGGGATAATGCAAGAGAAGAGATTAGTGACATATTTTTGATAATTCAGATTCAAACTTTCAAGATTATTAGTAGCTCAAAATATAAGTACTCTTTACTTCTTATTCTCTTATCTTTGGGTTTCTTATTCTGAACTTCCTGACTCATAAACAGGGACGGAGGGCGGAAGGGAGTTCATTCGAATCCCTTCCGCCGGAAAATTACATTGTATATATAAGTTCAAACTTTTCTTTTATGTCTATATATATTAGATATTGAATCCCCTTGACTTCTTCGTATGTTTTTTTTGGCATCCCCTTGGGAAAAATCTTGCTCCGTCACTGCTCATGAATGTTTGTTGCTATATGATATTCTTTAATTAAATGAACAACCTGCTCTCATAGCAGTTAATAGCACAATCAAGATTCTGTGTACCATTAAGTTGTCTACATTTTCTTTTTCAGTCCATATCTCCTATCCTCATATACTACCTGAACTGAGCTTGTATAGTTGCAGAAATTTCTTCTCTTCTTAAACTCGATTTTTCTAAAATCTCCTAGTTCAAATGCTAAAAATGCTTCCACAAAATATCCAAGCCATAACTTTTGTAGACTGAGCTACCAAATAATTTTCACGTAAAAATAGAATGGTCTGATAATTTCAGAAGCTCCTTTTTCCTTGGTTTAGGATCGGAGTACGTAGTTACCATATAATAATTCGTATTCATCTTTCTTTTTAAGATTTTGAAGAATTCAAAAGAAATCATACACTTGCTATTCAGAAACTCATGCAGTTTCATGCAATTATTGCAAAAAACAAACCACTAAACCAAAGAGGAAACAGAGCTCGCGCGAGTTGGTAGGTAAAAAGGGCCATAGAAAAAGACGGCCAGTTCTTTAAAAGGTGGTGACATAAACACCAAATATATACAAAACCGTGGTGCATACCTTACTAGTATTTGCTCACACCAGGAGGCAAGAAAGAACTGATCCAGCATATGCTACCCCTTACGATCTCATAAGTTCTTTACAAGGAGGATTCGGTCCCGACCAACCTTAACTAAGTACAAGTCATTTAATTTGTTTGGAAAAGCTCTTCTAAGTTTTCAGCCTGTAACCACTCTTAGAATAAAATGAAGAGTTGCAGATTGCAGAGAGAAACCAATTAGTAACAAGACACTGTTCAATTCACATTATCTTTGATTACCAATCTCAATAAGGAAGTCTCACCTTCATTCAGCTTTACTCCAACTGAAATTAAGTCTTTTAACAAATTCTTTCACAAAATACATTTGAATCTTATAGATGAAAAGAGACATCATTGTAATGCATTTAGCTATGATATTGAAGGGGAGCCTTGGCGTAACTGGTAGAGTTGCTGCCATGTGACTAGGAGGTGACAGGTTCAAGCTTGCAGAAATGCAGAGTAAGGCTGCGTACAATAGACCATTGTGGTCCGCCCCTTTTTTTATTTTGCTATGATATTATGGCCCAATGTGTCTCCGAACAATTTGGTATCGAATTAGCAACCTCCAAAAACATTAGTTAAACATGTTTGATTGGCTCAGATACGATGGTCAAACATGTTTTATGTGGAAGAGCATACACTCCTCTTCCACATAGAAAAATCACATAAAGAACAAAGACAAGACATATTTGGACTTTACATACTTGATTACCCCAAAACAACAAAAGAATTAGAGACTAAAAACTTCAAACTCGCAATCAGAATCAATTCCACTATGGCTCATACGTACAACTTTTTCCAGAATCACTGTGGGCTCCCCATAGAATAAAAGATGATCTACGCCACGTATAACTGATGCCATATAATTCTGCTGCATACCATTATAATATACTACTGTCCCACAAAGATATAGAATTGATTTCTCCACGTTAGACATCTCCTGCTTCAATTTTTGTAGCATACCACGATTGCTCCGGACTAACAAAAGGGGTTTAGTGTGGAGATTCTGGTGTAAACATTGGAGTTCACAATCGGTATTTTTAGACAGCCAGTAGTCGACCGAATCAATTGCCGAATTGCTTACCACGTTCAGTCATCAGTGTGTTAAAATAGCATGAATTTAGAAAAGAGAAATAGTCCAACTAATCCATGTCTCTAGACAAAAGTCAACCAGAGGCTTAGAAAGAAGATTCTGGTGTAAACATTTAAGTTGACAATCGATGTCTCTAGACAGCCATAGTCAATGAACCAACCGTGCACAATTGCTGCCACGTTAAGTGTGTTCAAAGTCAGCTCATATAGCACTGAATATAAAAAAGAAGAGATACTCCAACTAGTAGTAGTGAATTACTAATAACTAGGATAATGTTCTTAAGCTTGCAAATTGCAATAATCATTTACATAATGTGGTTTAGAGCATAAACCAGTTCAAGGTTTGATCTATATCAATTGATCACCAAACTCCACCATAAAATATACCAACATCTTGCATAAATTTGCTAAAGAAAATATATACTGAGTGAAAAAATGGCAGAGTGCGCTATATCTTATTTGGTACATCAGCTTTCAACATTGCTCAATTGCGGACAAAAATTTCTTGATGGAATTCAGCAAGAAATTGTTCATATCAGGGATGCATTTGAACAAATGAGGACTTTCTCAAGAGTAGCTGATGCTAAAGAAGAAGAAGATGCTGAATTACAAGTATGGATCAAGCAAGTATTAAACCTTGCACATGATGTCCAAGACATTCTTGAAAATCATATTGTCATCTGCAACAGTTTTCAAGAAAAGGTATCGTGGCCATGGAAAAAACCACATCATTCATTAATGTCTGAGAAGTTATTTGAAGCTCAAAATGATAATATTTTAAAAGCATTGGAAGGTGTAAAGGCCCGAATCATCGTCATTTCTGAAGGACATAATACGTTTCTTCAGAAATATGGTGCTACAACAAGCGCAGAAAGTAGCAACATTACATGGTGTAATAACCATGAAGAAGTACTCCTTGTTGATGATGCAGATCTTGTAGGTGTTGAAAATCATAAATCAGTACTACTCGATTGTGTTCTTTCTGATGATCCAGAATGGAAATTGCTTTGTGTAGTTGGAACAAGAGGTATAGGGAAAACCACCCTAGTCAAGAAAATCTTTGATGATGCAACAGTCAACAAGCATTTCAATCATCATACTCTGTGGATTGATATTCCAAAATTTTCTGATGTTAAGGAGCTATTCACGAGCATGCTTGATCCACAAGATGATCATTCCCGTCGAGCACTTGAAGCCATGGATGCTAACATGTTGGCACAATTCCTTCAACTATTCTTTAAGTCATCAAGGTACTTAATTGTCCTTGATGATGTCCCTGATATTGGCATCTGGAGAGCTCTCACATGTGCATTTCCTAGAGAAAGCTGTGGCAGCAGGATTATCATCATATCGCGTTTTGCTGATATATGCCATACTATTTGTGTGGAAACTGATGTTGGTAGTCATGTTTATAATTTGAAGCCTTTGGCTGAAGAAGAATCTTGGATTCTTTTCTGCAAAAAGGCATTTTCAGGCAGCCTATTATGTCCTTCATCCTTAGTGCAAATCTCCAAAGACATTATACAGAAATGCAGAGGTCTGCCACTGGCGATTTTGGTGATTGCTGGTGCTTTGGCTACTAAAGGGAAAAGAAAAGAGGCGTGGGAGATGTTCTATGACAGCCTTGTTGACAAGTTACAAGGTAGTTATAGTGAAGCCGAGCACATGACAAGGATACTCAATCTATGTTATCAAGACTTGCCTTTCTATCTCAAGTCTTGTTTCACTTATCTGAGCATAATTCCAAGATATCATGTCATCGATAAGATGAGACTGACTCGACTCTGGGCAGCAGAGGGACTTGTTCTTGAAAGAGAAGGAAAGGCAATTGCACAAGTTGCTGGAAGCTATCTCACTGAACTTGCAAACAGAAGCTTGATCCAAGTTGCTAAAAAATACCCTGATGGAAGGTTAGCGATATTCAGCATTCATAACCTGTGGTATGAAATCATTCTTCCTAAGTCAGGGGAAAGTGCCATGGCAACTATAGCTAATGGAGAAGAAAGAAGGCCTCACAAAGTCAGACATCCCGTAATCGCTGATGAATTCGCTACCGATATACAAAATATTGATCGGTTTAAGCATCTTCACTCACTAATAACGTTCGGTTCACCAGATTCTGTCACTAGTTCATTCTTGTTGAAGCTGTTATGTGGCAGTTTCAAGCTACTCAAGGTCTTAGACTTAACAGGAGCCCCATTGGTGAACATACCAGAAAAAGTCTTTGAATTAGTACATCTCAAGTTTTTGAATTTGAGGAACACTAAGATAAAACATCTGCCAGGATCAATATGGAAGCTTGAGTACCTCGAGTTCTTGGACCTAAGGGACACATTGGTAAACAAATTGCCTGATGAGATTCTAAGGCTTCAACATCTTCGCCATGTCCTCATTTATCGACGTGGTGCTGATTTTTTGCATGGTTTTACAGCTCCTGAGAAGATAGGAACCCTTGTGTCCATGGAAGTGGTGACTCTTATAAATGCCACTACAAGCATAGTGATTGAATTGGGAAAGTTAACAAGACTACGAAAGTTAGAGATCGCGAAGCTGAGAAGAAAACATGCAAGGGATCTTTGTTCTTCCCTTGACAAGTTGATCAATCTTGAACAACTATCTATCTCATCTTATGGGGTGGGAGACATTATTGATTTGCACTATCCCCTTCGTTCTACACACTCATCCCTTCGAACATTAACCTTCGAAGGGCGTTTGGAGAGGCTTCCAATATGGGTAACATCTCTTGAAGCCTTGGCCACAGTTCATTTAAGATTGAGCAAGTTAGAGGACAACGCACTAGAAACTCTTCAAGATTTGCCCAATCTTGTAAACCTTGTGCTAGAGTTGGCCTGTGAAGGTGAAGAATTGAGATTCAGGGCAGGCAGATTCAAGAAACTGCGAGAATTATATATTTGGCACTGCAGAAAACTGAGAATGATTAACGTGGAAGAGGGTGCAATGCCTTCTCTTGAGGAGCTTCAACTGCGCAACTGTCCAGTAATGAAGGTGTTTCCGTTTGGGATTGAGCATTTAAGCAAGCTTCAACGTCTTATGTTGCAAAATGTTTCTGAAAAGATGTTGATGACTTTGCAGCTTGAGGACAGTCAAAGTGGGGATTACTGGAAAATTGCTCATATTCCTAGAGTTCAGATAGTAGACTTGTAGAAAAACTGGAAGATAGATAGGATTGGAATAATGCAAAAGAAAAGAAACGAAAGTCTTATTGATTAGCACCATGTGTTTCTTTGTTAATTCATATTCAAACTTCCTAAGATTATCAATGTAGTTCAAAATATTACTTTTACTTCTCATTTCTCATTCTTAGGTTTCAGATTCTCATTGTCAGGTGTAATCATTCAGAAGCGACTTTATCCTTAACCTAGTTATTCGCGTTACCATATAATAATGTTACCATATAATAATTCGCGTTAACTGTGGTCCTGCTATTCAAAAGTTTATGTAATTTCAAGCTATTATTGAGAAAACAAATCACTAAATCAAAGGAGGAGCAGGAGGGCAGGTAAGAGTATGTAAAAAGGGGTCATGGACAATGAAGCATGGTGGCCATTGCATCTCCATATTAGAGTTCTTAAAAAGTGTTAAATGAAAGTCAAATATATACAACATACTTTCACATAGCTTACTAGTATTTGCTCACACCAGGAAGCAAGCAAGAAACTCCATTTCCCACCTCCTAATTGACCATGTAAACTTGCACTATTAACCTACCAGAGTACATGTTTTTTTTCCCCTGTAAACCCATCTCTTGAAACTCAAACAAGCCAAAGATTAGAGTTCATAGCCTGGGAACCTGGAATTTTCAGGCGTAAGCAAGTCGAACAAGAAGCAAGCGCCGCCGCCTAATCCTTGGAAAAGAGAGTAGGAATGATCTGCTTCATTATGATGCCTTTCATTCATGATCGTCCTCGCATTGTGATATAAGCAACTTGCAAAAGCTCTTGCTCTTTCTTCATATATGCTTTCCCCAGTTAGACGGAAGAGTGAGAGGAAGGCGTAAGCATTTCCAGATGCACCATCAGCAAGTCCTACTTTCTTCACCAAGCCGTTTTTCCACACTACCTCTCCACCTTCTATGGCAGCATCACGAAACTCCCTATCATTTGACAGTACCTGCAGCAGAAGAGTAAAGTTGAGGTCATTATTGGTTCTCACAACTCAGATTCACCATAATTATGACAATATGATACTTTTTTGTTTAATTTTGTGTGTGTTTCCGATAGGGGTAGAGCAGCTGCGGAGTTGGGAATCCTAACAAAAAGATTTCAAAATAAATACAACGCCACACCTAGAATGAACATGTGACCTAAAGCAATTTTTGAGCCACCTTTAAAAATACAAGAATGTCGCACCTAAAATATGAACATGTGATAAAAGCAATTTTTAAACAACATTTTCACCGCAAGGCGTTACTCTTCATTATGTCAAAGGAATCCACAAAATTTATGTGCACAAAAAGAGGTTTATTACCCTATTTACATAGTATTACTTTTTGACAAAAGGAATTCATATAGGCCTCCTTGCATCCACCTCCCTCCGCTTGGGGTCGGGGGATCCCAAGAGACGAGGTGCACAGCCTGAGAACCTAATGAGAAATCCGAGTTGAAAGAACAGGGAATGCAAACATGCTTGTCATTGTTAACTTAGTTTCTTAAGTATTTTCTTTGAATACGTCACTTATTATAAGCTCGGGGTAACAACATCAACAATAACAAACCCAGTTTAATCCCATAAGTGTTTATAAGCTCGGGGTACAATAGTAGAGAACTTATTGCCTGGGTCTAAATATCTAATAGGTACTAACCTCAGATGCTTTGCACATAGTAATGGTGATGCCAGTAGCACCATGGGACCATTGGACCAGCTTGTCTCTTGGATTCCCTTCACTGACAGGATAATTACCACTGTGGGGAAACCTGTTGCTCATCATGTACCTTAAGGTCTCCTTAACATCTTCGATATCTCCTTGAGAGAGCGGAAAATGAAGTAATACATGCAGAATACCAGCAAGCCCGTGAGCTGCGCCCCAGTATCTTGTCCCATGCCATCTATACATCAGCGGGCAGGCTGGGTTATCAGTTGCCCCTGCTCTCCCTCCTGCTAATATAGCTTCAACAACAGGCATAAGGTACTCATCTGGCACTGTCTCCGCCCCTAAGTACTTCCTGATAAACAATGCTGCCCACAAGAAGCCAGCTCGTCCGTAAAGGAGGTCATATGACATTCCAAAACCTCCATCTTCAGGTCCAACAGGAAGGGCTCTCTCTTGTGCCACCTGAAAGTGACAATTTGGAGAAAGATCTAAATGTTGCTCCAAGCAGGGCTGAGCTAAACTACTGCAGTAACAGAGGGCATCTGGACTTACACGACACAGAGGCTAAAGCAATAAAATAAGATTACGAAATTCACCACCGCGTTAGATGCTGAATCAGTTATAGTATATTTGATTTGCAAGCATATTTTATTAACCGACTGCCCAAGCATATATAGAATATTGCGAGCATGAATTTAGCAAATTTTCTTTCCTCATCACCAGGTCAAATGTTTTACCTCCTGAGATGAGATTAAATGAAGAGTCGACGAGAATTCATATAGCCAACCCCAACTAGTTAAACTTGTTTGGTATTGAGCCATAGTTGTTATTATGTGAATAACTTCTTGAACTTACAAATAGACGATGACTTGAAGGAATGTACAAGCTCTTAAAACTAATAATTTATGCATTTACCCTACGAAGTTGTTATCCCTAAAGTTAAACAAGAAGTCATCAACAATGAGCTATATTGCTGATATTGGTTATATCACTGTGTTGTTAATTTACAGTTCAATGAAGAGCACTTCAATGGATCTTTACTTTAAATTATCCAGTATAAGTGGCCAGTGAGGTCATTTGTAGTTCAATGAAAATTTTCGGAGTAGATAAATGGTGGAGACAAACTCCTTTTGACAAATTTCATGAAATAAAAATACTAGTATCTTTACTTGATAGGTAAAAGCAAATGACACTTAGCAACAATTAACGGGTCTCTAAGCTAAATCATCATCATAGGCTAAGAAAAAATTCAACAGAATGAACACTCCTCAACAAGACATGACACCGTTCACAAACTTTTGGTCTTTTAGATAAATTAGACATTAGCTACCCATATTCTGGCCCAACGCGTCTCAAAACAATTTGTATCAAATTAGCGGTCCCTAACATTAGCTTCACGTGCTTAGTTGTTGAAATAGACAGATCACATCTCTTTTTCCTGGTTGTGGATCAAGGGGAGGTACCTACAATCACATAGTATTACTCTATGTGTGCAGATACCCATATTTAGTGAAACAACTCATATGAATCCCCACTATAGTTGAAGAAGTACAGTATTTCATATAAACAAATATGGTTGCCTCAAGGAAATCACCATAGGGATGCTGGTACCTCAAAGAAATGGTTCAAATACAACTCTCTCTTGTGTTGGTCCCCACTATAGTTAGCAGCAACAGCTCCAAGAGCATATACCCCTCCTCTTCCACACAGAAAAGTCACATGCCTGGTCCCCAAAAAAAAGTATAAATATAAGAAATAGAATACTTGAACTACTACTATAAGACATTTAATGACCCCGTAATAAAGACATGGTAAAAGAATTCTAGTGACTAAAACCTACAGCTTCAAACTCACAAACAGAATCCACTGTCGGCTCCCAAAGATTATAAGATCAAGCCGACGTATGACTGATGTACCAAATATTGTACCATTCCACAAAGATATAGACTTGATTACTCCACGTTACACAATTCCTACTTCCCGTTTTTTAGCACATGTTTTTTAAGAGATCTTAAAGTCGATATTTCTGTACAAAGGGCAACTGTATTTCAAGCTCTAGAGAGTGATGGAGACAATTCTTGCAAGACAAAACTATAGTATTATTCTAGATGTGATTCTTTTGTCCTTAATTGGAAAAAAGAGTAGAACCTGTACAACATCGTATATAACCCAGTTGTTCAACTTTACTCACCATAATAATCAATACTAATTATATTCAATCAATTTTTGACAAAGAAAGCATTCTTTCACATCCAGTAAATTCTCTTGTGACTTTGTTTGGAGAAAACATCTTTGATGTTGTTTCTAGTCTAGTCTGTTACAGCAAATAGAAATGAGCATATTTTAAAAAAAAAAAAAAAAAAAAAAAAAAAAGGGGACATATAATATTTTCTATCTAATTCTGTTTTGGCTTAGCTGTTGAATAAATATTTATTGCCTTAAAAAAAAAAGACAAAAAAAATAGATTCACCATAAAAAGCAAGACTGAAAGCTCAGTAGCAACTCCGTATTCAGCCTTTCCGTACATCCCTAGCATTATTTGCTCAGAGAGGCCCTAACTCTTCAAGTAATCTTGTTTCTTTTAGTTAAAAAAAAAAAGATTTTCCAGAGCAATTTTAAACGTTAGTAAGCCCAATTTACATACATTAATTACACATTTAATTCCGTATTAGGATTACATTAACTAACAAATTGAAAAGAGGGAAAGTAAGAACCTCGTGACAGTACGTGCAAGTTCTGCACAAGCGTCAACTATCTCAGAGCACAATTCCAAGTCTTTCTGATCACCGGTAGCCTCGTACGACCTCAGGCAGGTAAACGCCGTTCCTAACAAACCTGTATACACCGTCGGATCTGTAACGCCACCGGCACTCCTTCCATTTCCTTTCCATGTCATTTCTACTACCTGAATTCACACCAAATTTAGCATTACAGTGCTAAAATACGCCGCGTACACTAAAAAATACAGCAAATTCCTTCGAAACTTTCCGGCAAAACAAAACATTCTTTTTCAGCAAAACAAACATGAAAAGCGTTTTCGTTTTCCTTGATTTTGGTTTATTTTCGTTTTCGTTACAGTAGCTCAAATCAAATATGTGAAAATTAGTTAATTTAGAATCCAATAACTTAAAAATGACTAAGATCCCGAACTCTATAAATCCTGACTCCGCCTCTGGTCACAGTACCTGGTCTTTAAGAGAGATGGCAGCTTGGAGAAAAGTTTCAGAAGGAAGGGAAACATTGTGAGCCGTAGGATGGTTATGGTGATCAGAATCAAGCCGTTCATTTCCATCTTCATGTTGATGGTTACTACTACTATTACTATTGCTTTCCTGTGAAGCAAACTGTACTACCGAAGACGACATATTCTCTACTTTCTCTTTATTTAACAAAAATAGAACGAAAGCTATGGCTCTGAGAAATTATGCTCTTCTAATTATCTCTTACATGGACTGTTTTATAAACGCTTTATTGCAGGGGAAAAGTGAAAACGGAGCACGGTGATGCGGTGGACACGTGCCACGTAATCAGCGGTAATGCTAAGTAATCAAAATCAGAGCGTTGGTATAGTGTAGATGGACGGCTATTAGAGGCTTAGAAGAGTTTGCAGTGGGTCCTACTTGAAGGACAGGAGGTAGGGGTGACACCGTGCCACCTGTGTAACATTCGATGGGGTTTCTTGGCCCTAATTTATTTGATGCATGTCTTAATTTTAATCATTCACATTCTAATCATTATGCGTTTGCTTTTTTATATTCGAATCTTAATTAGTTATACTTATTTCTTTATTTTATTTTAGAATAATGTAATAAGTCTGAATAAATTTAAATAATCAAGATTTTGTTATAAAATAAAGACCGTAAAGTAAATAAATCGAAGACGAGTATAGAGAGAGATATTGATATTATTCAACTTCAAAATTATGTACATAATAAACTGAAATCTCCTCTATTTATAGAGAAAGGAAACTGATGTATAAGCTGCTTGTAAGCTGCTACTGTAACCTGCTGTGTAAGCTGCTTGTAAGTTGCTTGTAAGATGCTACTGTACCAGATATATATAATCTTCTACCGGGGTAATATTTATCCATAACGGAGTATCGAAATGATAAGCTTCTTCGGGAGGCTTATTTCCAATAGAGTACCAAATAGATAAACATATTTACGGCGGAGTCCCATATGGATAATCTTCTTCAGCGAGCTTATTTACAATGGAGTACTAAATGAGCATCCATAATATATATATATTTATAACAGACTTAAAACTTTAACCACTATTCGTTGTCGCGTGACCGTTATCAATCACCATGATTATCGTCAATCACCACTATTAACAGTCATTATCACTAGCCACTACGGGCAATTATCCTTACCAACTATTGCTAGCTTCCTTTTAAAAACCTTATAAGGAAAACCCTGTGGGAAAACCTTAGTAAGGGAAAAAGAGTGCAGCGCTTTTTCGCTCCCCCTGATGAAAACCTTGTTTTGAATAGTTGAGTCTCTGCATTCCAATCTTGTATACCATCTTCTCAAAAGTTGAAGTTGGCAAAGATTTAGTGAACAAATCTGCCGGATTGTCACTTGAACGGATTTATTGCACATCAATGTCACCATTTTTCTGAAGATCATGTGTAGAATAATTTTGGTGAAATGTGCTTCGTTCTATCTCCTTTTATAAATCCTCCCTTCAATTGGGCTATGCGTGCAGCATTGTTTTCGTATAAAATTGTGGATCTTTTATCACAATCCAAACCATATTTTTCTCGAATAAAATGAATCACTGATCTCAACCATACGCATTCCTTACTTGCTTCATGAATAGCTATTATCTCAACATGATTTGAAGAAGTAACAACAATAGATTGCTTTGTGGAGCGTCATGATATGACAGTACCTCCACATGTAAACACGTATCCGTTTTGAGATCGAGCTTTATAGGGATCAGATAAATGACCTGCATCTGCATAACCAGTACGATCTGCACGACCTTTGTTAGCATTAGCAAGATAAATAAGTGCACCAATTGCACTGAGATAGAGTATTTCAGGACTAAGGAGTTCCTCATCCTCTTCTGGAGGTCGGAACTGATCCTTATTCATTTCAAGTGATCGAACGTCCATTGGTGTACTTAACGGGTGCATTTTGTCCATGCAAAAGCGTTTAAAGACACTTTTTATATAGGCAGATTGATGGATAAAGATCTCGTCTGTTAAATATTCATTTGCAGACCAAAACAAAATTTTATTTTTCCAAGATCTTTCATCTTAAATTATTTCTTAAGATATTCAATTGCCTTTTGGAGCTCTTCTGGAGTTCCAATATGTCATCAACATAAATAATAAGTATAACAAATTCTGATGATATTTTTTTTATAAAAATACATGGACAAATAACATCATTTATGTAATCTTCTTTCAGCAAATATTCACTGAGGCGATTATACCACACGTGCCCAGATTGCTTTAAACCGTGCAAAGATCTTTGTAACTTGATCGAGTACATTTATCGTGACTTTGAATTATATGCTTCAAGCATTTTAAATCCTTCAGAGATCTTCATATAGACTTAATCAAATGAGTCATATCGGTTATGCCTTGCATTTAAATGGCATGACATCTTCAGGTGTCTGGGCTACATGTCTGATCCTCACAATCTTTTACAATATTGTGCACTATATTGTATCAAATATATCCTCGACGATCATTTCATATCGGTTCGCAAGCGACATAACTTGTTGAGATCTCATCACTTTCTTTATTTTCAGGTACCTAAACTTCTTCTGGAGTTCCATGAAATGTTATGTCGTGGGCTCTTCTAGAGCTTATTTCCTCCTTATTATGATTATTTTGATCATTTTATCCTATCATTTTCAAGGATTGTACCTTTGGAACCGATTGGTCTACCACGCTTCATGCATACAGTAAACTCCATCCTTCAGGGACTTTAATTTTAATAGTAGCATTTGCAGTTGAAATATGATATTTATTTTGGATTAGCAACTGCTTCTGGCATTTGACTTGAATTATCTTCTGAGTGAGGATCATACTAATGATAATTCGATTCATATAACATATATTTCAGTTGTTTATTCCATCCCCCAAATGTTAGAAAAACTAACATATATCCCCAATCTTCTTTGAAAAATATATCTTTGTGTATTGTGGTAGAGAAATTAATTATATACCACACATCTAAAGTTAGTAAAAATATTTGGTTTCTGATCCTAAACCAATTGTGAGGGGATGACTTATCATATATTATAGGTCTGATGCATACAGGTGCTGCTATATGAAATTTAGAAAATCTTAGACCAACACATGAAGCTTTGTTCTCATAAGCAATGGTTTAACCATTAATAGGAGGTATTCAATTCTAAACTTGCTTGGATATAAACCAGCATTATCAAGATAAACTATCTTGATTTCATAATCTGAAAATTATGCTCTTAATTGAGAAAAGTAATTCCAAATACCAAACTGCAAGTTGACAATAATCACACATGTAACCATCTCATATATGCATCTATAAGTGGTTCACATAATAGGTGAATGGGCCGATATTCACCTTTTATTTATTTCAAAATCAGGAGTCTTAGTCCCAACTTTAGCTGGTATAATCAATTTATTATGAGAACAAGCAACACATGAGAATTCTTGGAGAATCTTCTAGTTTTTCAGTATATGCTTATCTGAATTCTCAAATGGCTCATTTAAAAATGGCAAATGAAAACTTCAAGTTTATCATGGCATGTGCTATCTCTTAGCAAACTTCTGGTTTACTATGGCATAAACTTTTGCATTAGTAAACTTCTGATTTACTATGGCTACTTTGTATAAGTAAATTTCTGATTTATTGTAGCTGCTTTTAAATTAGTAAACTTCTGGTTTACTGTGATACATGATGTAGTACAAATTGAAGAATAAGGCGGGCAACTTCTCACATACAACCCCCTATGATTGTGGAAACATGAAGATTTTCAATCTTTCAATCATTTGTAGTCTCGGTATGATTGTCATTTGTATTAGCAAACTTCGGGTTTATCATAACATATATTTTGACCACAATAATGACAAATAAGCTTTCCAGGAGCCTTCAATTTATTGTCCACAATCAAATATTATTCAGACATTACTTGTGTCATGTATCTTCTAGACAAACAGTTAGCTCTTTGGGAGCTTTTGATTAATTTTATACTATCAAATATTGCTCAAACACTTCCGGTGTCATGAGAGAAAATAACAATCAAATAGACAATATAAAGCCAATTTTAAATTTATAAATGACGAAAATTAAGAATTTTAATATTTTACCACTAACTTTGTGACAAATATCTCCTTCAAGGAGAAATACCATTAACATCTGAATATTTTGTATCAATGCAGCAACCATATAGTCATTGCATCCTTTAATAAAAGATACACGAGTTGTTATTTCCTTCGAGGAACTCAATAACTAACCATAATATACTAATGTGGTTGCAGTAGAAAGCATTCTACAAGAAAGCTTTTGCCTTAGAATGATACTTAATAAAATTATCCAAGATGTTGTGCGACAATGATCTTTATGCCACAAAATAATATTTATATCCTCTGTTGTTCTAGCTCTTCGGCAGGTGAGTTGTGGTATTTCTTCATTCACTCCAGGAAATGAAAATGTGCTTCGAAAATAACTTTGAATAGCTCATTATTTTGTTTAAGCACAGAAAGACACATTTTCATAATATTTTCCTTCTTCACGATTTTACAGGAGCAAATTTAAAATACGAAATATTGAGTGTATATATTCTCTCAATCATATTACCTCTTCTAGAGGTGAATCGTAATATATTTATATTAAGAGCGGTTTATATTTAGAAAGCTTTATTAATATTGTCACATTCACTTCAGGGAATGAATTAATATTATCAAAAGTTCTCTTCCTTCAGGAGATGGAACATAATTATCTAAACGTGCAATAACCACATTAAGTTGTGATGGTGTCTGACCTCTTTTAATATATTTGCTACTTCATGAGCAAATCGAGGTATGTATGAAATATAGAGAATTTTTCTCTAGCTTATCTTCATTGTAACCATAGCAAGCCTAAATTATCACTTCTGGTGGTCATAGGCATACACCACTTTTGGTGGTTAACAAATTTTTATTACAATGAGATATACGAAACATAATCACTTCTGGTGGTTGTATATTTCTTGCAAACTCTGTTGGAGTTTAAGTGAAGCTAACAATGTTACCCACTTTGTAATCCTTTATTAAGATAATCAAAGAGGAAAATAAGTACAAAAATAGCGATTGTATAAGTATACGTAGCCCCCAACCGTTTGCCACATAAACTACTGGGTAGTCTCGCGATCATTAATAGCTTAAGTAAAATCAATTTTTTCTTTCCAATTTCATGAGACCTCATCCAAGTAAATTGGCATCTGCATTATTAGTTGGCTAGAAAG